GCATTTTCAGTTGGCTTCTAGCCTCTTTTGGTATGCTTTGCAGTTTGAATTCCAATTTGAATACTGATGGTACAGCATTTTTTTTTGCCTGCACGACCCTGTTGAGGATGGTGTAGTCAGGGGTGGATGTATAGGGGGGTGCACAAGGGTGTGACCCCTGTTGACCAAGGTCAACAGGGGTGCAAAAAAATCAAATTTGTACCCATTGTCATGAATATGTACCCATTGTCATAGTAGTGTTTACTATTGAAATGTAAATAAATTGAATATTAATAAATATTTTAAAGTTTCAATTGTTTTGTAATTTCTTACCTGTGGAATGCAGTATATGTTTTGCTTTCATTTTCCTGACGCAAGTTTTGTTTTCATAAACGACACAAGTAACTGGCATTTATTATTCTAGTCAATAACAAACTAATTTTGCAGTTTAAACTTTTTTTCCAACTTTGTTTATTACAAAAATGTTAAAAAATAACAAATTACTTGCGCTCTGCCAGCCAGATATGGACTGGGGCGATATGAAAAACACTCATTTTCCCCCGAAGATTTTTTACATGTTTAATCTGATTTTAACTTTAAAACAATAAGTTTCTGGATGCTCGGAAATGAATTTCTAACAGTATCTAAGCTTTTCTCAAATAACTGACGCCAAAATGTCTCCGAACCCTTTCTGGAAAGTCTACTAACACAGAAAAACTAAAAATTTTCGCGCGGTTTTCTCGTGTTGTTCGTCTTGTACGTGTGATATTTCTGTTGTTTGGTAAGCATTTTTTATTTTAAGCACATTTATTTAAAGTTCTTTTGTCTTAGTTTAATATAAGGAGGAGTTGGCAAGTGCTTAACAAAAAGAAAAGGGCAAAATTTATCGATTTTCAAAAAAAAATTTTGACGCCATTTTGTAAAAAAGGACTGGGGCAACCTGCAAACTCATCACTCATGAGTGGCTTCAAAGATGGCGGCGGAGTTATCGTTCCAGGTTATTTACAGTTCACTGGTAAAACCTCGAGCCGTTTTAACTTTTTTAGTATGCCACAGTGGCGGTCTGTATACGAAACTATTAACGAATTTGAAACGAATCGGTTTATGTTTACAATATCGTAGTGTATTCCGGTCTGCGCTGATTGGTTGTTATTAATTGACCTGTGACATCATAATTGAAGGGTGGCACGCAATCATCATAGGGATCCTTGCAGGCTCTCTTTCCCCAGAGAGCCTGCTCGCAGGCTAATGCGGTGTATATAAACCAATCATTTTTATGGATTTTATACGGTCAAGAAATGGTATCGAGAGACTTCGCAAGAAGGCCACTGACAGAGGTTTTATAGAGGATCTAGATTATTACAAACTATTAGATGTTTTTATAATATTAAAATATGTAGAATGCTTTATGGGCAATTGTGGACCTGTTAGCCTATTTTGTTTATTACAATCACATAGTGATACTTTAATTGGTGCATTGTATTGATATTTAAAATAAGCATGAAAATATTTCCCTCTGTTAATACTCTAGGTCTCTAGCTATATCATTCCTTTGTCCTTTGATTTAACATTGTGCCAGTGCCGTAGCCAGAACGATAATTGGGGGGGGGGGGCACATATTCATATATTCGTGTTCTGCTTTATTAATTTCTTTTGAAATCAATTGTTTTTATGGTATGTGAACACGAATATATGAATATGTGCCCCCCCCCCCCAATTATCGTTCTGGCTACGGCACTGCATTGTACATTGCATTACATTCATACAAACAGTTCCATGGTTATATCTATTTAATTTATTTATTAATTGAGTCATAAAAAATTATGTTGACAATTAATTATGCTTGAAAATAACTTAATTAAATGGAATTATGACATAGTGTTTGAACTTTTAAATGTTTTTGCTGATATAAATATTATCATTTATCATAACTATTGGGTTTAACCATAGATATAGGAGACCTATCTATGGGTTTAACAATTAACACAGACTGATGTCATCAGGTTGGGTGCCTGTCTGAAAGGTGGCAGGCAAGGCAGGGTGTTGCTAAATTGCCTATCCAAAACTGGGGGCACTGATTGGGAAATCTGCCATTATTGGGGTTATGGGGTAAGCTACATTACCCTGACCTCCTGACATTGCTTCATATCCCTGGAAGACAAATCATAACTTACATGTGCTGATGTATGCCTGCAACAGGTATATGGCCAAGTCAAGGTAACTAGCTACTATTCCCATTAAATATGTACTGTACGTTAACTATATAATGTTGCAAGTGGAATGTAAGATGCATGTGGGATGACCCATAGCCAGTGGTCTAGTAGGGGAGGGGCTCAGGGGGACTTAGCCCACCCCCCTCCACCAGTTTGGGACACTTTTGGAGAAAAGGGACAAAACTACCTGGGGGTGTGTGTAGGGGTGACACCCCCTGTCTCGATCTCATCGGGTATACCCATACAATTTAGTCGGGCAAATCTTGAAAATATTTGAGTGTCTCAGATTGAAAAGTAATAGTGGTAGGAAAAAGTGGTAGTGAAAAATGCTCCCCGCTCACCAACAATTTTGGGAAAAGAAATATTAATTAGCAAATGATCAAATACAGAAGTTTTGCCCCTGTTGGAGAGCCCCCCCTTGTCAACATTCCAGGACTACACCACTAGTCGTAGCCATACTGGTATTGTTAGCATATATAATTTCAGCACATCATATTGTATGCTCTTACTGCAGTAGCAGACACTTTTGGTGGGAAGGCATTCGGTTGCCACAACGTGAACACCTTATGGTGCTCTAAATCTCAGTCCTTTAAATTTTACCTCAAAATTCTGGCAATTTAAAGCTTATTTTATTCCCAACCTATGCTTTCATGGATGCTATATCATCCAAAGGCTTTCAGAAATGGGAGAGTGATTTGTACCCTACACTGCTGTCCTGTTTATTTTCTGTTAAGCCCCAAGCTGGCCAAGCAGCTTATTTATTTCAGGCATGGAGTCTAGAAACTATAGCTTGTATCTCAATTTGAGAGAGGATGTGGAGGGTTTAAATTAACAGTAGGTTTGTTATAAAATTATTACTTTCATGAGTTTCATCGAATATTCCACTACTATTTTAATCGAATATTCCACTACTATAATATATGGCCTTAATTGATGTATTTGTAACAGATCCATAGCTCACATAATTTAATACTTTAATATATTTATAAAGTTATATAAAGAATATTATGGTATACTCAAAAATAGAGTCTTATATCCACACAAAAATTCAATGATGGCTATTTCCAAACGGCAAACACAGGTCCAGAACAAGCCAAAATCCCAACACTGGCGATCACTGGCGCAATTGAATTGAACTAAATATTTTGTTACATCATATCGGTAATTTATATATAAACAAACAAAAAGTATTTGCCATAATACAAGATACAAAAGTGTACAGATCGTACGTATCGTACGTATAAATCCTCAATCAGATTAAATGTAACAATTAACTTGTATTTGAAATCTTGCAAATAAATGCAATTTCGACTTTGTTTACGTCGTATTCGTGAATTTCCACGTGTAATTCCCGCACTTGAACACCAATTTCCGGTATCGGTGTTATTGATCTCACGCCAGCCAATGAAATTGATAATTTCATTCCGTTTCTCCAGAGTCATGCCCAGCACCTAACCTGCGAACGGGCATACTCTGGATACGAGATTGCAGGGCTTACGGCAACGCAGACAGCCGAGAAGCCCTGGGAACGAGGATGGCTTTAGGGCGGGGGCCATTAATTATTGATTAAATTTAATTATGCCATATATAGGTTATGGAGGGACATTCTTTATCCTGTATGAAAACTCCTATATGAGCCAGCCATCAGGTCATTTTGTTTATATGAGGTCTGCCAGCCCGCTTTATTAATCAAAATCATAGGATTTTTCTTCCATACACTGTAAAGTGGTGGTCAGGCTCGGTTTGCATAATGTAGATGATGCAAGACGTAATTTTTATCATTTGTAACTTGGAGCAAGTAGTATGGTTATATAGTACTATAGTTTTGCTTACCTCAAGGTTGCCACTACAGCCTGTTTCATTTAAAAAGAATCATCAGGAGCCACCTGATTGATAATCCTTTTGAAAAAAACAGGCTGTAGTGGCCTGTTCTTTATAGTAATATATAAATTATATCAATTTTCTTTTCAGGAATTAGACATACTAATGGCTGCACGAGCAAACGAAAACTATGTTCACGTACAAAGTGAACTTGAGCAAGTGAGTAATCGTATCCCCTTAGTTAGATGTCACTGAATATTAAACTATCCTATAATTGTATTATGATTAGTGGACTCTATACAAACAATCTGCCCAATTAAAGCTGGAGTTACACAAGCAACAAAATTGCTGCAACTTGCAACAAAATCTGATTTCAACACATGTTTGTTGCAAGTTGCAGCAATTTTGTTGCTTGTGTAACTCCAGCTTAATTAAGATCTCTTCAAATTAAGTGGTAAATTGCAAAGTGAGTTGTATTTTAAATAACTTAAAAGTTATCTGAAAAGTTACCAAAGGCTGGACATGTTAGAACTGTGCCTGCCTTAATTGTTAAGTATGGCAAAAATATAGTAAATATGTAGACAACAATGCAGTTCTGTAGTTCTGGTTCTGATACGGACAACGTCACTTACTGCATGGTAATGAGTTGTATTTATTCCTCATAAAGGTATACTGTATGCAGTCAGTATTGCCCTTGGCAGGCAACCAGAACTGCAGAATTGCATTGTTATAAATCTAGAAAATATTATACCTAGATTTACTATATTTTTGTCATATTTAGCAAGGAGGCACAGTTTTGTTAAAAAATTGAATATTTTAGTGAGTTTAGTCAAATACAGATTTATAACATATGCTTAGCCTGCATTGTGCTGCGGCTGCCTATGTTCCAAACCAATTTTGAGGATCTTTTGGATCATAGGTTACGGTGGGACATTTCTAATCTTGTATGAAAATCTTATAGTACCCTTTTGCCTTTTGGATATATGCTTGTGAAACTCGTTAATAATTCCTGAAAAAAAAACACAACAGAAGTTCAATTTTCTCACCAAATATCTTTTCTTTTTTTTTAATTGTTGAAGAATACGAATGTTCTCATCACGACGTTTTACAAGCTATTTACATTTTACAACATTTGTGGCCGTGTTGTATCGGATATAGCACGGCCGCTCATGTTGTAAATATAGTACTTAAAAATGATAAGAATTCTATCTAATGGGCTGTTTATGTATATGTGTAAACTAGGCAGGGTTGGTAAGTTTGATGAATAATTAGGCCAATTCGTCATTAGTGCTGTTTAGAAAACAAAGAAAACAATAGGCCAACACAAAGAAAACAAAGGCCTAGTGTGACGGTGTTTGGCCTAATTATTCAGCAAACCTATCAAGCCTGAAACTAGGTCACTTCACGTAGTGAGCGGGCTCACTATTATATATACTGCATGTAAAATAATTTTTGAATGAACCTGCATGAAGTTGTACTTCTGCAAACAAAGTTTCACAGATTCGAAACAATCACAGATATATTTTATAAGATTGTGAAACCTGTTGACCTGTCATTTACAACATATTTATGTAAACATTTAAACAAAGCATTAAAACTTAGTCCGGGTTGGAAGCCAGCCCTCAGGTCATTGCATGCGTTTATACCGCCAGCTTAAAGCAAGAACCTTAATTGCTCATTATAGGATCAATTGAAGCGGGATCAGTTGCTTGCATGTTGTTGGGGCAAGCGTAATTGGTGCGCAAGCTTAATCGGTCCACATAATGCATGATTGCAAAATGTTTAATCGCATGTTCTTGTACTTGTTAACATTGTAGATGAGGAAGGATCTAAATGAAACTCAAACTAAAGTGACACATGACAAGTTGGAGCATGAAAATCGACTGAGAGAATTAATTGCGGCAAAGAAAAAAATGGATTTATTCTGTCCTGACTCAGTGGTATGTTCCGTCTTGACTCAGTAATTATGATAATTGCTTTGAAAATTAGCTAAGTATATAATGGCAAAAATTACTTAATTAACATGATTTATATAATAAAAGTGTGGATATAGTTTTAGCGCAATTTAGAAAAAATATACACAAGTGGGTTTTTCAGGTCTTTAATATTAGTAAAGAATACGTCTATCATATCAAATGTTTTAATAATTTAATAATAACGTCTATCATATCAATGTTTTCATTTAATTTACTCTCACTGTTAAAAGAGTAAAAAGTTGTACCTCCTGTAATTACTTGTTTGGCACTGAAGTTTGCACGGCTGAGTGTGCAGTAGTTTTTGTACTATTGCATGCTAACAAAATGGGAATTTTGATTCTATATCACGTGATCATAATCAGCCAATTAAATGACCAGCATTTAATGAGGTGTTATGCTATAATATAGAATATATAATATAGAATATGTAAAATACCGTAAGCATCGTGTTGGGTATCGAGCATTGGTACCTGTATAACGTGTATGTTGTATTTGCTTCTAGCGTGTGGAAGAAAACACAAATATGATTGCTGAACGTGAGTGTTGTTCTACAACAGGAAGCAAGAACGACGAAAAGTCAAAAAGTGATACTCATGGCATAGAAGCTGGAGGTTTTCTTGAGACGTTTAAAGATTTGGGTGGTAAAACAGTTCAGCCGACACGGGTGAGCCTGGTGAGGCTAATGTTCTATAGTGGCCCTTAGTTTTTATGGAATCAAAATTCTATCATGTACAACTAGTTATCTAAGCCTGGAGTTACTGGCTATCAACTTCAAATATCATGTGCAACTAGCTATCTATGGTTTAATTATTCAATTCAATGAATTGATTAATGTCGATGACGCAAGTAGCTGCCCAAACTTCCGAGTCAGAGGCTCATGTTAAAAGCGCTTTACAGGCAGCTAATTTATAAATATCATAAATATGGGCGGTATTCTGTATGATACCATATAATAACTATCATGGAACCGTAAAATACATCGTAAACAGTAGTATTAATTAAGTAGTTATATTAAACAGAGTACTATTATAACGTGTATGTTATTTGCTTGTAGTTGAAGAAAAACAAAAAAAGGGAGACTGACGATGAACGTACAAGTTCGATCGATAAAATGTCAAAGAGTGAAGCTCGAGGCATAGAACCTGGAGATTATAAAGAGAAGTTTAAAGAATTTGGAGCTACAGCAGTTGAGCCTACACAGGTGTGGTTATTTTTATGTTGTATAGTTTTATTTTAATGTAATAAGACTTCTGTGATCTAAGTGATCTGTCTAACAGTAATATCTTGCATGCTTTCTGTTCGTGCTTGCAAATTTATATTTACATTGGGTTTTGTACGCAAATTGTAAATGAAATCATCCAAACATGCACGATGGATAGTCTCATGAAATCAAATTGCTTTCTTGAGTTTCTCTTTTAAGCGAAGAGAAACTCAATTACTGTACGAAACAATAACGGGTTACACTATCTTCCAAAAAGGTATTCTGATACTAGAAATGAAACCATTCACATTTTTTCTACCATATACTGTACCAACGGAATACCGAGATCATGAAGTTTACTATTCCGTCAGGCATTTTATACTTTATATACGGAATAACGGAATAGCGTAAATTTCGGTTCCAGGTGTGACAATTAATAAAATTCACTGCAACAAAATTATGTTTACAAACAAAGGCATGGGATCTCAGATATAAATTCTGTTATTATATATAGATCACACAACAAAATTTATTAAGGTTGTTAAAACTATGTTATATAGCTTACACAAGCTTGGTTCAGATTTAGAAGTGATCCGTATCTTATAGAACCTAAAACTGAATCTAAACAGTTCTGGTAACATTCAGCTTTATTTGAGCGTTTACTTTGTGGCCCCCATGTTGATATACAAAGCCGGTACAGTTCTGCATGGCTAAGCAACACCAAAATTTTGACCAAAATAATTGTGACGCAATAATGAATGAATATACATGCATCATGGCCGGATTTTGTGGGGAGGTACTTACCTCCCCTGAGATCGTTTTGCACCTTTCCCGAGAATTTTTGCATAGATCAAAGTGAAAATTTGACGTTTTTGGTTGCTTAGGATCTACACTTCGTAAGAAAGTTTTTCTGTAAAATTGAAACAGTGATAGTCATTCATCTCTGTGTCAAGTACCCTTTTAATGCAATGTTTTGAAAGAAACTTTGTAATAATTGTAATGAAGGGCAAAATTGGATGAGTTGTACAGTCATAATTCTTTATGAGTTGTACAGTCATAATTCATTAATCCACTGATACATATGTACACTACGTGCACACGCGATGTCGTTTATTTTGTCCCATTCTAAGCCCTAACTTTCCATGCATGGGGGTCGTCAGCTAGACCGCTGCACCTCTCCTAAATTTTTTCCACCTCCCCCACTATTTCCATCAAAATCCGGCCTTGACATGCGTTATATTGCTTTACATATGCACTAAGTTTTCTGTGAAATGTTAAGCAGTTTTGGACTTTCTAATATTGAAAGAATTAAATGATTATTTTGTGGTTACTGCCGACTACAATTAAACTGCAATTAACTTATCAATTGCTTAAATACAGGTATCTTCATAATGATTATTACGCTGAACATGTGGTAAAACCGAATTGCACACACCAGACTGGGACATATGGGATATATATATATATATATATATATATATATATATATATATATATATATATATATATATATAT